CCTCTGCACAGAGGCTTTTCAGGTCAGAAGGGGAAGAATGGCACAGGTCTGAGTCCCTTCAGTGTTGCAGAGGCACAGGAGCGTTCATGCAGTAAGTTGTCAGACGGGGGAGGTGGTGTCTGCCCCTCTGCTTTGTGCCCCAGCCTTTGCACAGAAGGTTTTCAGTTCTGGAGGGCAGGAATGGCACAGGTCTGGGTCCCTTCAGTTTTGCAGAGGCACAGGATACAAACATTCACAAAGTTGAGTTGTCAGATGTGAACTAGGGGTCTTCCCCCCAAATTTGTGCTTGTCAGTTCTGGGCAGTTTGTCTTGTTTGGAGTCCTGGACGGATTCCAGTCTATTCTGGTGAAGCCCATTCCCCACAGGGTTCCCTCTGCCCCATCGAAGTTTGAATACCACTTGTGCATTCTCTCCATCTCTGCTTTCAACCCACAGCCAGGGCTGGTCTTTAAAGTGACAGTGGGCTTTTATAGCCAGAGGGAGGGGGGAACAGCTCGAAAATCTTTATTGCTAAATGAAAATAACTTAGATTTGTGAAGTCCAGCATTGCATATCTAGGATAGCAGCAGAAAGACATTTGATTGTTTCCCCCATCAGACTGTGTGTGACCCTTTACCGCGTTTCCATTCTAGTAGTGCTGCCTCTAAAAGTGAGTTAGGACTGACTAGACGTTGTCTGCTCCTCATCCTCTTTTCCCATCTGTTCTTGGACAGGGTGTCACTTTGAAAGGTGGCCCATGTTGAAGTTCAAGGTTCAGGTCACAGGTGAACGAGGGAAGGCCGGGTGCCCCAAAGCTATTGTGACATGGCCCTATTCAAACAAAACAAAAACTGCCACAGAGCGATGTTTGGTTTTTGTCCCGTCTCCTTCATCGCATGCTGAGACACATGGTGGTTGTGCATAACTTGGTCACTGACAATGGTAATTCATTTGCTTACTGGGGCTGTGTTTTGCTCTTGGTTTGGTTTATATGTGATTTATTTGCTGCTTTTTTGCTCTTCGTCATCATCGTTGTTGTTTTCGTTTGATGCCCCGAGGTTAAGGCGTTAGTCCAAGACTTTGTCAGGGATGGAAAAAGTAACTGTCTGCTTACTTCTAATAAAACTGAATGCCAGTAAACAGCAAAATCTCTTGTTATTTAGCCCCAAGGTTTCTGAGCATTCTCCTGTTCCCTGTTTCGGGGTGCAGGGGTGGAAGGCAGCTCTGTGTCACCCCCAGCGAGTGTCTTTGTGTCACTCGTGCTGTTTGGCTCTGGCTGCAGCTCCACTCGCTGCCCTTCCCCAGGGATGCTGTCCTGGCTGCTCCACAGGTTTCCTGGAGAGCCAGGAGCTGCACAGGGGCAGAGAAGGGAGATCCTTGGGCTACTGAGTAGACCCCGTGTGGTGGGACCCGAATTCAGAGACTGTCCCAAAAGGGGAATCTCTCACGCTGGACATGAGTCTTTCATGAGAACTTTCCTATGAGAAGAGGACTTTGCCTGCTGGAGAACTGATTTGGCTGCCTGTAGAGTCAGGATTAATTCTGAAATTTCACTGTTAATGGAACAGATTAGATTTAGGTTCATTTTTGAGCTGCTGTGGGTTTAAGGATTGGAGCTGGAGAACGTTGGGGTTTATGTGAAGGGGACTGTTTTCATAACTTTGCCTTTGTGTCCCGGGGGGCTGCCTTATGAATGTGGAAAAAGCCCCTCTGTAAAGCAGACTTATAAACCTCTTTATCCCCCCAAGGTCTTTGGCACAGTCTGTTGATTTTTATTTGTGGTTTCATGCTGATTTGGCTTGTTGCTTTTAATCCAGCACATTTTAGTTTGGGTTAGTGTTTGTTGGAGGTTTTTGAGTTGGTTGGGCTTTTTTTTTTTGTTTGTGGTTTTTTTTCCTTCTGTTTTGCTTTTTAATGGACTTGGCTCAGGTGATTTTTAGCGTGTGTGTGCTGCACTGCAGACTTGGG